AATTTAACATTTAGTTAAACAGTTGAATGTATTGTTTAATTCTATACATTACTCTTCAAAATCACTTGATATTTAAAGTTTGTTTTATACTTTACTTTTAACTTGATTAGGCTACTGAAAAACAGAACATACCTGTTTCAAGCTCTATGCCAAGAAATTGGTAATTAAATGAAACTGAACTACAACCACAAACAAAATATTAATTATTTTTACTCTTCACAAACATCATATGCTGTTGTATATGTATATTTTTTATTCTTTCTCTTTTTCTTTTTGTTATATTGACTTTGCTATGCAAACTGTATGTTGGATAACATATCTTATGATATTTGTGCAGTGAAATGCTATGATCTTTCAGTCAGAAAGGTTATTCTAGACAATATGAATAAAGATTTAAATTATTTCTCTTTAGAGAGTCACAGAAGCACAGAGAGGCGAGAATCACCTCCTAAAGATGATGTACCTCATAAAGGAAGAAATATGCTTCTCTCAGCACTTGTTGCATTTTCAGCTATGTTTGGATATGCTATTGCAGCAGGTCTAGTTCAGGTAAGGAGTAAAGTTCAGATATATACTGTAATGGAGGGTATACAAACACACTTTTACCTAAAGAAAGAAGGTCCCTATTTGACATGCATTTTCCCAAGGAAATAAGTAGAAAATAACAAGGGCTCTTATATGAATATATGTAAGAATTAGTACTTATTTTACAATTCTATAATCATATAATTAATTATAGATTATTTCAAGTATAATTACACATCTCATTGTAGTTATTTAGTGATTTCTCATATAAGTTTTGAGAATATTTACTGAGTTTGGTTTTTGTCTATATTTTACATTTTCCTTATGATTTGGATACATACTATTCATTATCAAACCAACAGGTAGACATGGGAGAGCCACCAGCAGAAGAGGAGTATGACTATGAGTACGAGGAATATGATAGTTCAGGATCAAATGACAGTTAGAATAATAATATATAATATATTGTGAATGAGAGTAAAATTTCTGTACAGCATATTTAGTCATCAGTGTCATACAGATGTTACATATGGTAGTAATAAATAGCAACATTTATGATGTGACATCCAGTTCTAAATTCTTGTATTACCTAAACCAATATATTTCAAAAAGGAATGCTGATGCAGTGTATCCAATAAATATTTGTAAATAATTAGACATAAATATACATAGATGTATGTGTGCTTGTTTGCATATTCTTGTCAGGAAGTTGGGGTGTTTGTAAGTTGTTACATATGGATGCATAGGTCTATGTTTGTATGTGTGTTCACATGTGTATTCAAAGCACATGCATATAAGTACCTGTACATGTATGCCTGCATGCCCATACACATATATGTATATACATGTATATAAAAGGACATGCATACATTTCTTTATCTATCTTTTAAACTTAGATGTTAATGCTCTTGGTAAAAGTGAAGAAAATGCTTACTTGTATTTGCTATTTTTATGCCCGTTACTTTTTTATCATTTTTGACTGTGCCATAGGAATATTTTTTGCTCAAGATGCTTTAGAGTATGTGAATGTAATGGAATTCAAGATGGAGAAAAAAATAAATAAAAACATAAACACATAAATTGTAAACATAGAAGTCTTCTGTACCAGCATTCCAGGATTTTTAGTTGTGATATGGATTTGCTCTGTAATCAGAGCAGTTGAGCTGCTCTGTATAGTATATATTACATGCTTTCTTTAAAAAAGTAAACATTTGTTACAAAAATATTAGAAAAGTGTCACATGCATCTGATGATTGGTGGTTTGTAATGATAGAAAAAGAGAATACATGGGTTTTGGATTTATGAGTATCACTTTCTTACTTAAGGCTAAATAGAGGGAAATATATTGATTTCTTCCATCAATACTATTTCATTTATTATTATAAACAATAAAAAATAGATTATATATAGAGAGAGAAAGAGAAGAATATTTGTACATTTTATGGGATGGTTTTTACTTACAACTGAAAGCATAGCTGTGAAAGCAAAGTTAAAACCAAATGTTTGTTATTAGTAGTAGTTGATGTTACTGGGTATAGGTAATAGTACTGGTAGTTTTTTCTTTCTTTCTTTTATATATAAACTTAAATCACCCCAGTTTCATGAAATAATAATGATTACATTTCTTACTTTTTTTATATCACATTTATTAGAAAGAAAGTGGGAGATTTTCAAGAATTTATATCTCTCCATGATTTCCAAAATATACTCAAGCAGACAGCCATAAAATGCACACATTTTGAAGTCTTACTGATAAATTAAATTCAGCTTTCTAAGCATCCTCATCTGAGACTCCTCCTCTACTCTTGTTATTGTGTGTCTCCCAGAACATCCCATTCTTTTCTTTAACCACATTGGCATTATTGAGTGAAGTGCTTTATTCACTTCCTGTTTGAATTCTTGACTTCGCATGTTATAAATCATTGGATTCCAGGCATTTCCAGAAAGAAACAACCACCAGCTAAAATAATCCACAAGCTCATCATTGGCAAATCTAAAACCAAGCTGGATGAATATTAGCACAATTCCACGCAGCACTGTAGATATCATGAAGAAGAGAGACAACATGCACAGAGTCACCAGTATGTAACGGTTCTCCTCTTGAAATGGACCTGAAACCCTCATGTTCATTCTCTTCCATTTTTCCCTTACTCTTACTTGCTTCCGTGTGAATATGCCCATGGATATAACAGAAATTATTATGGTTGATGTGCACAGCAAGCCTAGTAAGAAGATCTGGAAAGAGGTGAGCCATTGCATTCCTTTATTAAATTTTCCTCCTGATATTGGAATAGGAAGTTTCAGCAAAGTGGAAAACGTAACTTCAAAATTGCCCTTTCCATCAAACATAAAGAAAAGGATATCCATGAAAGCAATAATCCAGATCAAGATGATAATGAACTTGACTCGATGAACAGTTAGATAATCATGGTAGTGAAGTGCGCGACCTGTTATTATCAATCTCTCAACACTTAAAAGAAAGAGTGTGAGAAGAGATACCACTGAACATAGGCCAAATATGAATCCCTGGAAGATTCGGAAGCCATGGGTAACTGGGATGAGCTGCTTGAATCCACTGGTTGATAGTGTCTGTGTATTACCTGTAACATATTCAGAAATTAAGTAATTTTCCTGAAAGTCTGAATGCCTAATGACTGGCCTTAAATGATCAACAAAGGCTGGAATGAGAACAAAGACACTAGTTAAAAGATCTGAGAAGGCTAAGGATGTACGGAGCATTCTAGATGCATCCCGGTGATCACTCTTAACCATCACTACCATTGTCAAAAGGTTTCCCAGTGTTCCAATTATTCCAATACTCGCCACAAAAGTAACTAGAATGATTTCTCTTGCACGACACCACAAGGGTAAATAATCCCAGAATACATTGAGTCCCACTGCCTCAGGGTCACCAAGCCACATGGCATAATGCATTGCGTAACAGGACGGAAAATATATATTCCTTGTTATGACAAATCGTACCCTACTTCCATTAACAAAAAAATTCAGTATGTGTTTATAATGATATAAGTATTGACACTTCCTCTCTTCTTCCACTAGCCTCCATACTATTACTCTGATTCCATTTATATTTCTTTCAATGACTCTAAAGAAGCCATTGCATATATTCTGAAAGCATTCATAATCCATTACCAAGTTGGTGTATGCCAAGAGAATCTCGAAATGCTTATCCTCGTCTGAAGGTCGAATACAACTCTTACTGTGGAGAAACACAATCATTTCATCAAAGCAGAAGGTCATGTATTTTCTCTCAATGCACATATTATTCCTCTGGAAATGAGGAAGACACATGCTCGCGAATATTTCCTGGTGATATATCTTTACTGAGCTTCCTGGACCTAATGGAAAAGTGAAAGGCGATGGGAAATCTTTGTCACCATAGAGTCGCCTATACTCACGGAAGCAGAAATACAGTGTCTTCTTATGATATGATCTAACTGCGCCAGTGTTCCTACACAGTCTCGATTTAATTTGATAATGTTTGAATGAACCTGGTTCTCTTTTACAAAACCTAATCACATGTATCAAGAACAGGAATTTTAAAGGTACACGCCCAAAAAAATAAGGGGTGACTGTGGAGGTATTGTCAAGGCTCGTGTGATGTTGTTTACTGTGGTTGGCAGATGTGAATGGTTTGAGGAAATCAGTAGGGGACTGGGAGCTTCTGTTGATATTTTGGAGAGCTCTATAGTCTTGAAGGAGGATTCATTGGCGATATGGCCCCTTGTGTTATCTGAAGTTTGAGAAAACCTGAAGAGCGATAATACCATAATTGGCAGAATCCAAGTTTTTCGATTTTCCTTTGACATCATTAACAGCATCTCAACCTGAAACAAAATGAATTTGTTAAAGTTCTTACTTAGGGTAACAAAAATGATTAAAAGTGCAATAAAATTAAAGACAAACTTGCTATGCACTGGGCATGATTGTTGTAAAGTTTACACGCACAAACGCGCTAGTACAATCACCCCCCCCCCAATCCCTTGTCTATTGTTGTCGTGAGGGGGCTTAGGAGACAAAGACTGAGACCCAATACAGGGATCTCCCTGCCTAGGGCCTCAGCCCTCGACTCAACTAATTTTGCATGGTCTTTTCCCCCTCCACTTCCCCAATCCCTTGCCCGTTGTTGTCGTGGGGGGCTTAGGAGACGAAGACTGAGACCCAATACAGGGATCTCCCCTGCCTAGGGCCTCAGCCCTCGACTCAACTAATTTTGCATGGTCTTTTCCCTCTCCAGCTTTTGTTTCCGTCCCTTCTCCATCCCCTTCTACTATCTTAGAGGCAATGAGGCTTTCCCCTTTATCAAATAGCCCCACCCCAGGCTCTCCTTTGACCATGACTCCGAACACTGAAACTACTACCCACTCCTCAATGCCTACTAGTGTATTGTCCACCCAAGCAGAGACTCAATCTCCAGAAGACATTCTTACCCTCCCAACTTCCTCAAATTCATCAACTCTACCCCCACAACCTTCATCAAGCATCCCATCCTTCCTTATTACTACCTAACAGCCTTATTCTCCATCACTCCGGAATACTCCCTCTTCCACACGTCCCGGACCATCCACCACCACCAACCCTACAGATATCTTAAATACTCTGTTTAGTCCAGCTAAACGGGACCGATTTTTCGTGATCCCTTCTACAGCTCCTTACTCAGGCAACAATGCCTCCGTTCTCCTTCCTCAGAAGCATAAATATCCTTCACTTGATCTAACTCCCTTACCTAAACCACCATAACCTTTTCCCTCATCTTCAACCTTTCAACACTACTCCAGATAGTTGATACATAGCAACTATCGTCCCATCTCCAACCCCTTCTACTATCTACTTTCTAAGGTGTAAGAGCCATGCTGAAAGGATGAAAGGCTGACCTTGTGCCAGTCCTGAACGGCCTGCGGGAACCATAGGCACGGTACTCCCTGATTTAATTGTCTAGCCCTTCCCCTACAGGGCACTGGGGGTGGACTGTTTATGTCCCTTTTCATAATCAAGGCTTTCCATGGCCAGTAATGAAGATGTAATACCCCTATTAGGAGCAATGAGGCTTGCCCCTTCATCAAACAGCCCCACCGGTTCCCCGACCCCAGGCTCTCCTTTGACCACGACTCCGAACATTGAAACTACTACTCCTCAATGCCTACTTGTGCATTACCCACCCAAGCAGAGACTCAATCTCCAGGAAACATTCCTACCCTCCCAACTTCCTCAAATTCATCAACTCTACCCCCACAACCTTCATCAAGCACCCCATCCTCCCTTATTACTACCTTACAGCCTTATTCTCCATCACTCCGTAATACTCCCTCTTCCACACGTCCCCGACCATCCACCACCACCAACCCTACAGATATCTTAAATACTCTGTTTAGCCCAGCTAAATGGGACCGATTTTTCGTGATCCCTTCTACAGCTCCTTACTCAGGCAACACTCTTCTCTTTCAACAATGCCTCCAAAAACAAGTAGGCAGAGTCCCTTTCTATACCAGACGCGATCGCTCCCGTCTGTAACAGTCAGATCAGAAACTGAATCTAACTAACTGATCATTCTGGCAACCCCATTCCTGCAGAACCTCATCCAACCCTTAATACCTGTACCGGAACTGTCTCTCTCTCCCAGCAAACTGCCCAGTCGATACCAAAGATTGGTCAGACTGTGGAGAAGACTTATTAGGATGCCTCAAAGACCAAGATGTGAAATCAGTACATTGCTACACCATTCCTCCTAAAGGTCAACGAAAGAATCCGACCAACATTGCCAAAATTACCTTCCGTACACATGACCTTCCCTTACGTATCTACATTGGTGGACAATCCCTCCCTGTTCGACCATACCAACCCCCTCCCGTCAATGTCAAAACTGTTGGCGCTTTGGACATCCTGCCAAACATTGCCGTTCCACAGACCGATGCCCCATATGTGCCCAACCTGGTCATAATCGATCAAACTGCTCAGCACAAACACGAACATGTGCTAACTGCGGCGGCCCCCATAATGTATTTTATAGAGGCTGTCCCACTTACAAGTTTGAATCTGAGGTAGCAACTCTCAGATACAAAAATGGTCTCACTTTACGTGAAGCCAGACAGGAAGAACGTCGCCAAGGTTTTTCTCATACTCCGTACTCTAGTAATGTCGCTTGCTCATGTTACAACAATGCCCTTCCCCAGATTCCCTACCTCCTGATACCCCTCCTTTACACCCCCTAGCTCCTTCCCCCAGATTCCCCAACACGTAGCGGCGCTTTCACTCATAAAATAACTAAGATATAGCTCTTCTACATTGGAATATTTGTGGTCTCCGTTCTCATAACCTGTTCTCCTTCCTCAGACACGTAAATATGCTTCACTTGATCTAATTCCTTTACTTAAACCACCATGACCCTTTCCGTCATCAACCCCTTACCCATCTTCAACTTTCCAACATTACTCTAGATAGTTGTTGGCGCATACCAATTATAACCTGGCATCACCCTTACTATACCTTCCTATAGTGCTATATGACCTTAGATGTCTAGCCCATTTATTTCGCTTTTAATCATTAACCATTAACCACTCATGCACTCATACATACACATGCACGTGTGCACACATATATGTACGCACGCACAAGCTAACACACGCACACGCACGCACGCGCACACACACCACACACACACACACACACACACACACACACACCACACCACACACACACACACACACACACCACACACACACACCACAACACACACACACACAACACACACACACACACACACACACACTATATTATATATATATATATATATATATATATATATATATATATATATATATATATATACATTTACATTTTATATTTTACATTTACATTTACATTTTACATTTACATTTTAAACAAAACAAGCGCACACCGAGAGCGGACCCTTGATGAAGAAACCGGCAGTGAGAGGTTAAAAATCAGGCCGTTGCAGCCACCGTAAATGTTTTAGTTAAACAGTCATGATGAAACTCGTGGTTGATGATGAAGCAGAAGAAACACAGCTTGTGTGGGCATGAACGTGAGTGAATGAATGTGCAAGCATGCGTTTGTGCATTTAAACAAGGTTAACCAATAGAAGTGAACAAAAACTAAGAAAAAGTGTGAGTTAAAAACCAACCCTAGAGCACATTTAGATCAATAAGAGCAACCTGATTTGTGGTATGTAAGCCCTCGGCTCAGCCAGTTTTGCACAACTTTTTTCCTTTCCTCCTTTCCTTTTCCTTCTCTTCTCCAGCCAGTCTTGAACGGGAGCTATGGGAACTTTATTCCCCAATTTAGTTGTCAAGCTCTTACTCCCACATGGTCCAGGCTTACCATGGCCAGTAATAATTTTGTACCTTTATTAGAGACGTTGAGGCTTGCCCCTTTATCAACTAGCCCCACTGCTTTCAACTTTTCTGGTTCCCCGGCCCATGGCTCTCCCTTGATCACGACTCGAATACTATCAGTACCTTCTTGATATCTCTTGTCACTTGCCCATTCTGTCACATGCCCAGGTCAGTCAGTCTTGCCATTCTGTCACTCAGACCTAAGAACACTTTATTTCCTCTCCTAACATTCTTCACTCCATCTCCCCTTCATAGTCTCACTTTCTACCCCTTCTCCCCATATACTACCCTTCATCCTTGTTCTCACAGAACTACTCAACACCACAACCCTTCCCGTCCTCGGCCTGTCACTACTACCGCTTCTACAAACTTTTTGAGTACTCTCTATTCCAATACCCTGGAGAAACATTCCTCCTCTCCCAACATATTCAACTCCATCTCCTCCACCCCCACAACTTTCTTCATCAGCTACCCTATCCTCCCTTATTACTACTCTGCATCCTTATTATTCACCTCTCTGCAGTATTACCTCATCCAGCGCTGTTTGTCTACATTCAAGTG